AACCTGACAATTAGCATAATAAGGCCCATTTAAAAAGTAGTCATGAGAAATCAGACAAAACAACATCTCCCATGTTGTTTATTCAGTTTGATTTTACTTCACTATTTAGCATTCAGTGAACTGCTGAGGTAAGCCCTTCTTCTGATCTTACAGTCAGTGATGTATACATTTATCAGGTACCACCTGCCTTGCAACATGTCTTTGATGTCCGTCATGGTATACAACATATCCCAATGCTTGCTGTATACTACATCGTATCAAGTTCACCTTGCTCACTAACAATTTTGCTATAATACTTGCATAATATCTATAGATTTGCTGTTTTCTCTCTCTCTCTCGCCGTCTATGAAGGCTTGATACTGTATGTGCTGTACATGAATTATTGATGTTGAGGGACTAAGCGGCCATGCTGGAGGTTTATCTGCTCCATTACTGCTCTCCCTATGAGCCGGGAACTTTACCTGTCAGTTAAGCTCCACTGTGCCCCGGCTATCAAAGAGTTACTGTAGCTATTTTACTGTCTGCAGCCTCGAGAGACTTACTGTAGAACTATATCTGTTAATACATGCCCAAACATGATCCTTACTGTCAGCGTTTCTCAGTCATGCATCTTAGTATACCCATTTCTGGAACGTATCTTGATAAAGGCGAAAGAATGTGGCAAGCCATTTCTTTTTTGTAAATCTGCTGAACACTGCAGCTAGAAACCTTGCATTCTCGATCTTTAACAAGACATTGGGGAGCATCTCACTTCAGAGGACCGTGGCAACAGGTTTAAAGGTCCTTACTCTCATCCTTGCTGTAGAGATAAGGAGCCAGTAAACTGTGTTACTATGGTAACAGGGATGTTGTTGTATCACCTCCCAACCAGTGTTGATGACGCAATGACACATATCGCTAACAATTAAAGATAGGACTAAAATGTATTTTCTTTACACTGAAAAACTGAACCGTTGACTTTAATTAAATGTAAGATTTCTCATAACTATATTATGTTAGTTGAAAGCAATCATTTTAAGTTTAAATTAAAAGAATGTCAGTTCAACTTAATATTATTGCTTTCAGCTAACTTAATACAGTTATGTGAAATTTGTTGACATAATAAATTAAATTAAAGTTTACGTTTCAGTTTTTTCAGTGTATAATAAAAACAAAAATCTCTTTTTTCACTGACTATAACTATTCAACGATAATTACAATTTAACATGATTGAAGTTAGACACAAATTTAGTTAAAAAACAGGGTGAAAAAGAATAGCTGACAAAAAAAACACTACAGTCAAAATAGGTTCTACATTTTCTATCACGCAGCGCTCTAACGGGAACAGCTGTGTGTTTTTGTAAAGGTTATGGAAGCATCACTAAACACATACACCTCTCTCAAAAGCATTTTCCACATAAATAGTTGGCTCGACAGAGGCTCCCTTTTACTTACCTCTTTTGTCTCTTCCTTTTATGATTGGTCTATTCTTTTTGTTTTGGCTAGTAAATGTTAAGTCACCTTTTTCACCCCTGGTGTTGGTTTACTGCAGTAGCGTCTATGATTTTCCCCTGTGCTCAGAGGTGCATCCATCATCCAAAATCTATTGGACCCGCATGCACAAACAATGCGCATGGGTACAAACCTCTCACTGTATGAGGGGAGGATGTTCCTGGGCAGCTATGATGACTCAACAGGCTGACCTGTCTAAGCCGACTCAACCTTTCAGAGCATTGTATATGAGAGGCGGAAGGTCATTGTAGATCTGAAGAGGAGCTGTTTTTATCCCTGTAAAGGTCAGTCAGTACAGTCATGAGTTGGAATGACTGCATAAAAAGCCTCGAGTTGGCTTTAGTGTGACATAGTTGTGGACTTTCCTGATATTATATATTGGCCAAATCATGAAGAGGATCGCTGTTGGAGAGTGAAATCTGCCTTGAAGCATTTTAGTTGCTAGCCAAGCTATTGTCCTGTAAAGACATTGGGCTCAAAATGAGTGCCAATAAAATCAGTCAAGAGCATTTAGCATTTCCCCAGAAGGGCCTTACCCTGGACAATGCATCTTCCCAGTATCTGTGTTTCTGCCAAAGGAAGGGGACGGGGTTGCTCGGTCGTTGATGGCTTTGTGTGTCTGCAAGGGTTGGGTAAAGGGTGGGGGCTCCAAAGGCGCTCCTCAGAACTGGGTCAGAGGGATTAATTTCCTGGCCTTGGCTGATTCAAGCTAATGGCAGATTAGCATGGGAAGTTTAACTTCCAAAACCTCCCCTCCACCCACAACAGACAGCCAGGACTGAAAGTGAAGCGGCATGCTGCTTTTCACACACCTGGGGCCCGAGGAATGTGTGTGTGGAGTGATGCTATCCCTATATTGTGTGTATTATGCGCTCTGTCTGACTCCTAGCTGACTATGTGTGACCATCACAGTCAGAGGTAATTATTAGAAGACAACCCAGTCTCACGGCATTTCGTGTTATAGTCACGACATTTAATCTATTGATTCGTGTTCACCAACACGATTTCCCCCTTTTTTTCATGTCACACAGAACGATTTTAAAAGCAATGTATTTCTATTGGTAGTGTGTTTCGTGCCTGCAACATGTCTTTTTGTCCGGTCGGGTCTTGGAAGACCGGAAGCTGTGTGGTTCATAAAAACATGTTCTTACTCAATATCAAGCCACGATTATTGTTTTTAATTTTAAATCGTATAATGTCTGACTTTTTTTGCCGTCCGCGAGGAAAATAAATGGGGCCTCAGAATACTGAAATCTGTATGTTTTAAATCTTTTTTTCCTTCTAAAAAGAAGGAAAAAAAGAGTGTGTGTGTGTATTACAATGCCGTTATGTGATGAATTTCAAAGAGAAAAGCAAGCACACTCGGATTAAAGTATTATTTTCTTTTTTTTTTTTAATGTTTTTCGGATTTCATATCGCATTAACACCATATCCCAACGTGCATTGCGGGTAAACAATCCAATCACCGAGCTTAAACCATAGCTGAGGATCTTGGGTAATCAGTTCAGTGGGTGTGTATCTGTTTCCGGTTATTTTATTTTGAAATTCAGTTCCTGACGGACGCCAAAAAAGCCAGAGATTATAGAATTAAACAAATAAATAAAAACAAGGATAATTGTGTGTTATTGTTGAGTAAATAACAGTGTGTTATTTAGAAAAGAATAACAAATTAGAAGGAAAAAAAGATTTAAAACATAGGCCTACAGATTTCAGTATTCTGAGCCCCATTTCGCGGACGGCAAAAAAAGTCAGACATTATACGATTTAAAATTAAAAACAATAATCGTGGCTTGATATTGAGTAAGAACATGTTTTTATGAACCACACAGCTTCCGGTCTTCCAAGACCCGACCGGACAAAAAGACGTGTTGCAGGCAAGAAAAACACTACCAATAGAAATACATTGCTTTTAAAATCGTTCTGTGTGACACGAAAAAAAGGGGAAAATCGTGTTGGTGAACACGAATCAATAGATTAAATGTCGTGACTATAACACAAAATGCCGTGAGACTGGGTTGTAGAAGAGTATTAAGACGTATCATTGGTCAAATAAAATCCTATAGATGTAGTAATCGTCTGACACAGCTGGAAGATTAAGCCAACAGATATCTCTTCCTTTTAGCCCAGTGTTTTCAGACTTTACTTACTGATTTGTAGCTGAAAGCTATAAAATGCACTCTTGTTTCATTAACTCTTTTACCTGCTAAACAATCTGTTAGCTAATGTTTGGTTTACGGTGCACTTTTTTCGGACGTGGGAAAGTAAATCGTACATTTGACAAACCACAGTCATACTTTGAAACCGCGTTTAATCAAAACAATTCAAACTGTCTGCTGTGGGCAGGCTCAAACAGGGATAGGCTAATGTTAGCTTATATTGGCATGTTGCTGCTTATTAGCCATTACTGTGACAGTTGGCTAACTTTATGACTGTTGTCTACTGTTGCTACTATAGGAGTATTTTGCTGTCCCTTTCATTTCACTTCCACAGAGTCTGCTTTGCCACTTTTTGGGAAAAAGGAACAGATATTTGTCAGTTCATTGAAATAATAATCATCAGATTTATCAGTAATGAAAAGGATTCCTAGTTGCAGACCTTATCCTAAGAAACAGATTATCTTCCTGTGACATTGGAGGATCAGGTTCAAAACCAGTTAATGATGTATTCTGTATTCCGCTGGCTCCCGTCTGTCTCCTTCCAGTCGACTGTCCAGTAAAAAGTAATAATAAAAAAGACAATGTGTTTCTGTCAGTCTCTTTTCCCTGCACCTCTTAACGCTGTTTTGTTTGGGTGTTGCTGGCACCAATGGACCGTTTAATGTGCCTGAAGTGATTTTAATTAGGTTTCATTCTGTTTCTACAGGCTCTTTATCTCCTTCCTTCTACGTCGCTTCTTTGCTTCTGGGCTCGTCTTTTTATATCAAGCTTTTATCCCTTCTGGCAGTACCAGCAAAGCCTGTCTGAAGCTCTATGAGCTATGCAGTTGCACCATACACCGCAGTTGTGACTGCAATATCTTGCATGTCTTCCAAAATTAAAGCCCCTAAATTGTATTCAATTATCCAGATTTTGTCTAGGCGATATTACAAATTCTGTTATGGTTCTAAATTTGATTGTGAATATAGGTTATACATCTGCTAATTTTAGCATGGTAGCAGTACAATTACACTTAATCTGAACAGGTTTTATAATACTATATGCAGTACACATTGTATTTGAACCCTCCTTCGCCATGACTCAGATGAGAAATCCCAGAAAGTTTAGGAATTCTTGAGTCAGCTGTTCTGGGAGTTTCCACTTTTTGCAGCTCTGCATTGTTTCTTCGGGGGATGTTTTCATGCCCAAGAGGATATTATGTCTGCTAGTGGTGTAGCAAAGATTGACCACATAACTTCAATCTCTTTTGTTTTTTTGTTCCATACCTCTATAGTTGAAAACAGTCCTGTCAAAACAATGGCATTCCACAGCAAAACCGAAAAGCTCATTCCTGTCTCTCCTCTCTTTTATAAGGTATTGGAAAGAACGTCATCTGTGACCGGACAGCAACGCCTCTGGATGCCTTCCGAATGATGTCAGCGGCCCAGTACTACCCCAAGTTGCTGAGCATTATGGGAAATGTGTTACGTTTTCTGCCCGCTTTCGTTCGAATGAAGGAGCTGTTAGAAGAGGGGTACATCGGAGAGCTTCTGGTCTGTGAGGCCCAGGTACGACAACATCTATAAATGTTTCTTTGCCTTTTATTATAATGACAACAATATGTTACTATTGTTTATGTATAGTTTGAGTTGTGCCCACAGAATTGGCAGGTAATGTGTGTCTTAAGGAGTGTTGGTTAGGGTTAGAGTTAGGGTTAGGGTTAGTTGGTCTCTTCCCAACTGTTTCCTTTGTTTTATTTATTTGTTATCCTGACTACGTTCACGAAAGAAAGACCTACTGTAATATGGTATCAAATCTTCACAAGTGTTCCTCTTGCCCTACAGGTCCACAGTGGCAGTCTCCTAGGAAAGAAATACAACTGGAGCTGCGATGACCTGATGGGAGGCGGAGGTCTGCATTCCGTGGGTAGTTACATAATTGACTTGCTAGGGTTTCTGACCGGTCAGCGCGCAGCAAAAGTCCACGGCTTCCTCAAGACCTTCGTCAAACAGACGGACCACATCCGGGGCATCCGTCAGATTACCAGCGACGACTTCTGCACGTTCCAGATGGCGCTGGAGGGCGGCGCCTGCTGCACCGTCACGCTGAACTTCAACGTTCCCGGAGAATTCCGGCAGGAGGTTATCGTCGTAGGTACGGTGGGAAGGCTTACGGTCACCGGGACAGACCTGTACGGACAGAAGAACAGCAGCGGAGGAAACGGTGGGGGTCCTGAACTCCTGCTCAAAGACAATACACCTGTTGAGAATTCTTCCTTACCGGAGAAGGCCTTCATTGACATTCCGTCCCCGTATCTCATTGGAACAATCCGCATGATCCAGGCCGTGCGGGAGGCCTTTCAGGACCAGGACGACAGGCGGACGTGGGACGGGAGGCCTCTGACAATGGCTGCTACATTTGAGGATTGTCTTTATGCTCTTTGCGTGGTTGATACCATCAAGAAATCCAACCAGAGTGGAGAGTGGCAGAACATTGTGGTGATGAAGGAGGAGCCAGAAATCAGCCCGGCCTATCTGATCAGCGAGGCCATGCGTCGGAGTAGGATGTCCCTCTACTGTTAGCATCCGGCTGATTGGCTGACGATGGCCTGTGTTTAACTTAACTGGAGGTGGCAGCTCAAAGGCTTAGTGTTGTTTTGGAACTTTATTTATTAATCTTCTGGGTACAGTTATTAAAATCATCACTCTCTTTTTAAAACCGTCCAATGTGTATTGCTACTGTTACAAACAGAGAGGTATGATACAGAGAACTATGGTTTCCTGAAACCCTGCCTCAGCAGTAGAAGAAAAGCAATGTGATCAATAATTAAACTTTTATTTATAAGGAAGCCTTTCCTGTTTTCCTTTTGACAGAAGTCTTGAGTCGTTAATGGGAGATACACTCGTAAATCAAACTGATTCATACAACAATAAGATATACTTTGGAGGCAGACCAGGCAGTGAAACTAATGCTACTGTATCCTGTTTGACCATAAGGGTATTGCGCCTTTCTTCCCTGCTTCTCTTCTTTATGACTGGGTCTGGAAGACAACACCTTACACTGTGGGTCCAAAATATGGACAGCCAAGGAAGAATGATAGTCCCTTAGCTTAAAACTGTGCTGCTGTATTGTCGCTGTAGTCTCTAGTACTTGCTAGTTTTACCAAGTGAATGTTTTAAAAAATAATCAGTGTGCTTGATAGCTTCGGACTGCTCTGTATGCTTCCTCTTTGCGTGTGGAACAAGAGAGAAAATAAATCAATAGTTTGGCTGCTGGGTTTTTCGACGGGGTCTACCTTCTGGTTAATGTATGCAATTTTTCCAGGCTGTAGTCTGTGGTAGAAATACTTAAACTTCCACCTGGAGCAAAGGGTTAATGGTTGGCCTTTATGCAGTTATAGTAGCCTGTGCATACAAGTCTTGTATGAGTGGCCAGTGCAGTTCTTATTTTCTTATTTATTTAATGCAATTTCTGTCGTAATTAAGCATGGCCAGGAAATACACTGAGCTTGTGTTGTGTGTGCATATGTCTACCGAGCCTTAATAAAAAATCTATCTTGCACTAGGTTGCGAGTAAATGCTGAGCAATATGGGTGGTTTATCCCAATGTTGTAATGCAAAGGCTCACTTGCATTTAGCTACCACGCCTCATAAAGCTTCTCTGACACGCACAGTGAGATGCAGGTTTGTCAGTTTGCATCATGCATCAGTATGCAAGTTCAGTTTGGACCGAAACATAGCATTTCTTTAAGCAGTAGTGTTGAGCGCAAAGGCTGGTGTTATTCTCTGTTCCCATGTCTGTAGCACTGATTGATGTAAACAGATGACTATGTTCCTTGTGAAAGGTGTCACTCATAGTAATGATCCACAGATTATTATTTCCTTACTCTTCAGTTCCCATCAACTCCACATAGCACATCATTATTTTCATTATTTTGTTTTTTTGGCCCACAAATGCTGTTCTGGTTCATTCTCAATGCTCTCGTAAAACGTGTTTTCAGCCATGGCCGACGGCTGTTTTCATCACCAATAGGCCCGATACACCCATGGTACTCTTCTTTTAAGAAATTGACACCTAAAATTAGCCATAATCAGGAAAAACTCAGCTAAATGAGAATGATTTTGGGCTTTCTTAAAAATTAAATAATAGCTCAGCATTTTTTGCTCAAGTTAGCCAAACATGAGGGAATAGAGCATTTGTTTGGGACTAGTTTTAGCTTTTGAACAAAGAAAATGTGGTGATGTAGTAAGAAACCAATACATGATTGCAGCCAGTCTTCACAACTTTGGTGGATTCAATTAGTGGACTAATTAAACTAGAGCAAGAGTGAGAACAATTATCAACAGTCATTCAATATAAAGGGATTCTAAAACCCACCATCGGAAAGTATTTGCAAATCTCGCTTGACTTAAGGTTTGGTATCACTCAATACAGGTGAGAGAACAGCACAGACCTACAGTACAAGCCAAAAGATTGATTTTTTTTTTAATGCATTCTCTGTTCCCGTGTGGTTTTCCAAACTCTGCTGAAATACTATCTATGTAACGACTACTGAAAATGTACATATGCAACAATATGTGTTTGTCTAAAGAAATAAACAAGTACTGTATGTATTTTATTTGTGAAAACCAAGGAAATGGAACATGTTTCGATGAGTGTTAAGCTATTTATTATTTGCTTGTGTAACAGCAGAACGAGGCCTTATATCATTCAGCTTCTTATTAATTATTGACCAAAATGATTTTCTTTTAACTTTGTTGTAAAAAGTGTGTTTGCTTTTTAGCTGCGTCATAAATCATATACTGTCACAGTAATATAGTCTCTAACAGTAATGTTTGACCCTTGTTTTTGTTTAGCGTGTGTTAACACTCACTAAAGTTACACACTTAAGGTCCAACACTGATAAGCTATCACCCTGTAAGATAACTCGAGTTAGATTATTGCGTAGTAAGCATTTTATCAAATCTGCATATAGACTTTCCCCCTTTGCCTGATTACAGTTTTCATAATATTAATGATTTGAACCTACGCACTGGAATTCCCTCTTTTTATTGAATCATTACTTTTTGTCCACTGTTCAGGCACTATGCACACACTGTATAGGAAAAAAAGGAATAATAATTGGTCCAATCTTTTTACATTTATTCCAAACAAGGTTGTTTTCTTTCCCTCTTCAGGCCTGTAAACATACTTTGTTTCTGTGTGATTTGATGTAATAGCCTCTTATGATGTCTGAATATAATTTGAATTTAAATTATTTTCACTGTTGAACTGATGTATGTATAGGGAATCTCAGGTGAGGGGCCCAATTTCACAAAAAGACAAGTCCGTTCCCTGAATCCCCCTTTACCCCTATGTTTGGTTTAGTCCAGTGTGGATCATACCATTTTCAGGGTTACACAAAACAACAGAAGGTTCATTGTTTGTGTCTGGCAGCTTCACCACTACCATGCTTTTTATAATTAGTTACTTTATTTTCCCAGTGCATAACAGTAGAACAAAAACTCTGCTCTTTTCGTAAACTGTTGGAAATAATAGGAATTTACAGACTTGTAAAATAAAATGTTAACTTGGTCTTGTCTTTGAAAACTAAATAGAAAAATAGCCATGACACAAGTCACTGTTCAGAATACTTAATTCTGCTATCATTTTAGAGAGAAATGTTGTGTCAAATTGTGCAGGGTTAATGCAGAGAAGTGTGTTTGATGCTCAGAAATTGTTTTCCAGTGTTAAAGCTGTTTTTGCTTACTAAGCTGTAGACATTTTAAGGACTCTGAATTCAGCTTTTATTACATTAAATATCTAATATATTTCATTTGCTCATATCTCTCCTTGTACGTTATATCATTTAGGCCTGTGGCGACCAGTGTTTCATTACCCAGACACAGGTTTTGGCATCTGTGTTTAAGGATTATCTCACAATAGACAGAGTTTGTTTAACTCGGCTTGGATCCCATGCTAAGATTAAATGAACTATATATTTAGCCGCTCCGGGGGTGAAACGCTCAACAGGGACTCATAACATTAGCTTAGTTTTTTCAAGGGTCTAAAACATGGATATTCTTTCACTTTGTGCTGGCTGGAGGTTTATCCATGTCCATACAGCTCCTCCTTCTCCATGGAGATGCAATTACACTGCTCAGCAGACACATGGACTGTGGTAAATGTGTCGTTAGCATCTGCTTCAAATTAAGAACATTAGAAGACCAGAGGGCTTTTCATTTCAGCAGATACTTGGCAAAACATGGAAAGATAAAAGCACCTGTAAAGGCTTTCGAGTGACACTAACCGCAGTTTCACGTAGATTCACACATTGCATGGAGGTGCATGGGCAGCAGTATGAAACAGATGAGGCAATATCTGGGTCTGAAGCACTGAATATTTAATGAGTGGAATTTTAATGAGCTGATACAGTACAGTGTGGGGATTTTAAAACAAAACGTTAATTATCCCTTCTGTTTTCTTCTAAATGTTGAACCACTGATGATTTTATTTACTCTTAAGTTATCCTATGCTGCCCCATCACTCAAATGGTTAGTGAGGTGATATTATGGCTAGTGCAAAAGAGAACTGTGGACAGTGAAGCTCATGTTTCCCATATAGTGCAATGGGCTTTTCTTTCATTTAGCTTGCTGCTTGTGGCCTATTATGGATAAACCGGCTTCAGAAAAACACATTGCAGAAAACGAACACAGGAGAAGCCCCCAGTTCCCACTTTGCATTGGACTGCCTTGTCAGTGGTGAATATGAATTGCTTGTCGCTTTGCCAGCATTCACAAACTGTTCAGGAAAGGCTTTCCTTCACTGAAGGGGGGGGGGGAGGGTAGAGGAGGAGGTGGTGGGATGGGCTGAAAATTGTTCATTTTGGAGCCGAACAACCTCAAAGAGGCACTTCCTCTGCCCTTGGAGACCGTTACTTAGCAACAGGAAGCAACGTTGCCAAAACTAGGTCCTGTCTAGGTTTTTTTTTTCACTTACACAGTAACACAGTACCCTCACTCCTCCATTTCTACACTCCTCTTTTTCACACATTCTTCCTCTATCTCCCTATTTCTCTGCACTCTGGTCAAAGGTTGACAATTAGTGTTGAGAAAGGTAATGGTTTTTGATCTCCTGTGTTCTACCTTTCTACATCAGTTTTCTCTCCGTATTTTCCCCTTTCTTTCTCACTCTTTCTTTCTACTGTGAGTCAGGTTGAAGCCTGGAGGACAAGCTCACCGGTGCTTCTTCACACATTCCCCCAAAAAACATTGAGTCTTCGCTTTAGCAGCCAGAAAAGGAGTAACCAAGGTGATCCGTTAATATAAACCGATTACAGACAGGTACAGGTTGTGAAGGCCTTTCCTCAGCTGCTTTATGAATGCTCCGTGTCTTGCTGTACCCCTGAAAATGTTCAAAGAAAAACAGATATCCACCTTGATACTGTACTGTGTGTCCAATATGTATTGTCATGTGTGTATATTGTGGACGCATGGACAGTATGTACAGAGGTACATACTGTAGTTTGAACTCTCAAGCGCATTTATGGGTCTTAATCTAGAGAATGTACTTAATGTTGGAATTATTTATATTTTCTATCCATTTTTAGGAGTTCTGTCTGTGAATAAAAACCCCAACCAATGAGTTCTCTGCGTGCTGTAAAGTGTGATGGTGCACTTTTGGTAAATTAGCCCTCCCTCCCTTCTTTTTTTGATTGACTGTGTGACTCCTGCCTCAGTGTTTTACTGCCTCATCTCCCTGCACCAGTGTTCAGCATTGATTGAATGTGTGTGGATGAGGGTGTGTGTGTGTGTCAGCAATATGGTTTACGGCTTCAGCACTTGTCTAATGCTGCAGTTTCTATAGAATAAAAAATAAATATGTACAACCATGACAAGTCTAATTTCATTTTCTTATTTAATTTCTTTGGGTTACAGAATTAATCGGTGTATTATTGTTTTTATTGAAGACATCTTCATTGTATAAAAACACCTAACAAGATTTCAAGTTTCATGTTATTAACTATATATTGTTTCATGGGAGGACATGCAGGACTCCATCAGCCTCTCCTCGGCTGCATACAACACACTTAAAGCTGCTCCTGACCCCTGCTGGCTGCTGTGGATGCTGCACATTATATAATTCTGCTGCATATTGCCAGAGGTGGAAGAAGTACTCAGATCTTATACTTGAGTAAAAGTAGAAGTAACAGAGTGTAGGAATACTCTGTTACAAGTAAAAGTCCTGCATTCAAAAGGTTACTCAAGTAAAAGTAGAAAAGTATTGGCATCAAAATATACTTAAAGTATCAAAAGTAAAATGCAAATTGATCCATTTCAGAATAATATATGTTATATGTTTGATTTTAATTATTGATGCATTAAAGTATTATCAAATCTGGTAAAGGTACAGCTAGTTTGAATGACTTTGTATACTGCAGGGTATTGTATTGTACTCCAGGTGTAACTAAAGTTTTTTTTTAAGGGTTGATTATATTTCATATCATTAATCCAAATCTGTAAAGTAAATGTAAACAAAATAAATGTAGTACAGTAAAAGTGCACAGTTAACCTCTGAATTGTAGTGTAGTAGAAGAATTACAAAGTAGTATACAAATAAAATACTCAGGTTTAATACAAGTTCCTCAAAATTGTCCTTCAAAAGTCTCAAGATGCTTGGAACACATACACCACTGGATGAGCATTAAGCCACGTTTACACGGAGACATGGACAGTTCGTCCACACGAGGCCGTAACGGAACCGCGGAAACGGAGCCCTCAAACGATAACGGGTCCCAAGGTGGGTAGATCTGCGGACGAAACGCTCTGGTGGGCCAAACGGCTCCGTGTGTACGTCCTATACGATCATTTCCTGATAACGATGACGCCATAGCCCCGCCTCTCCCCACCTCTGCTGCTCACCCCCGCGTCATTGCTGATGTGTTTCGCCAACAGCAACAACAATGGCGGATCACAGGGTTGCTTTCGTGCTCCAGATGCTACTGACCATTCTACAGATGTTAGTGCAAAATCTACAGCTCCTCTACCACAACCATCAGCAACAAGTGGACATGGAGAACTACATGAACTACATGTTGCTAAATCCACCGCGGAGAATAAACAGAAGGGCAACCAGGCAACCATGGCAACCATGCTCGGGGGGTCTTCTTCGCTGCTTTCGGTGTATTTTGTGGCGGAAGTACAGCGCCACTTACAGGCCCGGCATATGTACTACAGCATCTCCAGCGGGTCGAGCTGTCTCGGGTGGACGGACAGGTTCGTTTTCGTTTTCGTCTCCGTGTAAACGTGGCCTAAATAGCAGCAAATCAGAGGCCATTCTGATTGAACACCACATCAAATACAAAAAAACGATATCCCTCATATCAGCATCAATGGCCACTCCATTCCCCTCTCCCCACTTGTAACGAGCCTAGGTGGGAAACTGGACTCATCCCTTTCAATCCAAGCACACATAAGATGGTCTGCCAAGCCTCATACTACCACCTGAGGAACATCTCCAAAATGCGACCCTCCCTCACCAAACCGGACGCATAAAAACTGGTCCATGCCTTCATCACCTCCCGCATTGACTACTGCAATTCTCTGCTTGCAGGCATTCCAACAAAAAACACTCAGAGACTGCAATATATACAAAACTGTGCCGTCTGGATACTCACAAAAACACGCAAATCAGAGCACATCACCCCCATCCTCCACTCACTCCACTGGCTCCCTGTAACCCACCGGATCAACTACAAAGTCCTCATAATGGTCTTCAACGCCATTAACCACACTGGCCCCACCTACTTACAGGAACTGCTAACCAGAAAACACTGGGGGTGTTTCTCAACGTCGAGTAAAGCTGCTCCAGAGCCACTATTTCAAGCATACTACGTCATCGAGTGCCGCCGAAGGACTGTTCCAATGTCCAGCATACTTGGACATCTACCGAGCCCGGCGTACTTCGTAGCGAGAAATTTCGAGGCTGCACATGTGTAGACTCCGCGGTCTTAAAATCCCCACAATGCTTTGCGCACGGACCAATTTCCCCAAATCTGTGGCGGAAAATGTAAGGCGGGGCCTCTCATATGACGCACACCTGCACACTTGCTCGCCTGTTCCACTCTTCGTTTTCCGAATGCCAGGAAGTATTCTTGCCTCGCTTCTGAAGCAAGTGCCTCGGAAGACATGTGCTATCAAGCAAGCGTACTCGACATTGAGAAACACCCTGGGTGTTTCTCAATCTTGAGTAAAGCTGCTCCAGAGCCACTATTTCAAGGATGCTACGTCATCGAGTCCCGCCGAAGGACTGTTCCAATGTCCAGGATCCTTGGAATTCTACCGAGGCCGGCGTCCTTCCTTAAAATCCCCACAATGCTTTGCGCACGGACACATTTCCAAAATCTTTGGCGGAAATCGCGCTCCATTTAAGACGGGGCCTCGCATATGACGCACACCTGCACACCTGTTAGCCTGTTCCACCATTCTTCGTTTTCCAGGGCGAAAAAAAATCACGGAAGTGATTTCAAAACAAAAGCACTCGTTTGCTAAAATTACACTTTGAATCACTACAGTATCCTGCTGAAGGAACGGTGATTATTATACCGAATTTAGCGATCACAACGGAAACGGCCAAGACACATATTGAGCCCAGAAAATGGATGTTATCAGGGGCTGTAAATATAATAAGCCTATGTCTAAAATGGACAACATTGTTAGGAGATTTAAACTATACAGCGATTCTGCACTGCAGTCAACTCAGCCGCCTCTCGAGTTTGTTTTTTCAAATCAGCTGCTCTTCATTATTCCTGCTATATTTGACGAGTGATACAAAT